TTCTTATTTGGTAAAGTCCTTTTTTTCACATTCCAATAGACATGGACCTCTTCCAGCTCCCAGAGGTCACAAGAGATAAGTAGCCATGTCATGGGAAGCATTTGGGTTCAGTAGTCTGGAAAATTGATGAGAAGGGAGTGGGCCGAGATGAGCAGGGGGCAATGGCCACAGGGTCCTTGGCCAGCCTAGGAAACAGCTATTGGACATCAGTGCTGTGGTGCTTCTATTGTCTGTAATACAAGAAGAAAACATTACTTCCCCTTGATTTTGAGCAAAGAGGGTGCTTAGAACCAAGTTGGGGAGTGGTGGGGCTCAGCAATTGCCTACCTACGTAATGTGAGACAGGTGGCCCCATGCTCTGATGAAAATGCAGAGATAGTCTTCAAAGTGTGGAATTAGCAACTGAGGCCAGCCATAATGACCACAGAGGCCACTGTCCTCACTTTACACGTGAGGAAACTGAGGCCCTGGAGACCCGAAGTGGCATAGCTCTTAGGAAGAAGAGCTGGGGCTGAGGCCTCGGACTGTCGAGTGTTCATCAAGGCCGTCTTTGCCACAGGATTCCTTCACTGGGTGTCACTTACTGCCAACAGCCAATCACATGACCTTGGACGCGTCACGAAACTCGGGGCCTCTGGTTCTTTATCTGTCACTCAAGGCCACGGGACCACATGAGCTCAGAGCTGCTTTCCAGAAACAACATTTCAGAATGCTCTGTTCCCCTTCCAGCCCGAGACAGTGTGGGGCGGCCTGGCCTCCCGGCCAGCAGGCACTTTTATCTCCCATAGTCTGCGCAGGAGTTGTTTTTTTCCCCCACAGTGGCAGAATTAGGTCAGAGCGGAGGACTCTGGGATTCCTAGACTCCTAGGCTGGTGGTTCCTTCCTTTTGACCAAGGTCAAAACAGAAGGGATGGTTTCCCTCTACCTGCAACCCTCTGTGAGTCCTGCCGCAGCCCCAGCCCCATCCTCAGCCTCCATACCTGAGACGCAACCCTCTGTGAGTCCTGCCCCAGCCCCAGCCCCAGCCCCATCCTCAGCCTCCATACCTGAGAGGCAGGGAGCTGAATGGCCTGCATTCCAACCCAACTGTGTCACATACCAGCTGGGGGACCTCATGCAGTCATATGTCCTCCCCTTGACTCTCGTTTTCTCCATCTGTAAAACGGGGACAGTAAGAGCAGTCACCTTGCAGGAGTGAGGACTGGACGAGTTAATCAGTGTACAGCTCTCAGAGCCTGGCACACAGTCAGGGCTGAGCACGTGCTGGGTATTGCTGTGGCCTTCGCACATGTAGGCGGCCAACACTCACACAAAAAAGCTTCCCTTTCACGGCCCTGGCTGGGGACCACAGTGCTCAGCTTTAACTGAGGGTGCGTCTGCAGCAGCATCAGCTGGTCTGAATCAGACCCACGCAGCACCAAGCAACCTTCAGTCTCCCTTTGAAAGAGGACCACCCCGAACCTCCCAGAAAAACGCCGTTTATTCGATTGAAGTGATTCCCGTGTAACCACATTTGGGAGCACAACTGGCTGAGATTTTCATTCACCACAAACGCAGTCTCGGCTTCCCTTCTCCGAGGGGACAGATTCCACTGAGACCGATCAAATGTCACACCGAATCACATCTTGTCACCATCATCACCCTGTTCACAGGCTCCCAGGAGAAAGAAGAAAAATCAAGTTCTGAGCCGGGGTCTTTGCCCCACCAGGTTAGGGGGCTGAGGCTTTGGTGGTTTCTCGCCCCTTTGCCCGGCTGTTCCCAGCTCCTTGCCCTTCTGTGCTAGGGTCTCACAGGGGAATGAGGGCACCAGACCTCACGCCCGAAGCACAGTAGTGAAACCAGCTGGGTTGGGGCTCTGCTCCCACATTTTCTCTCCCAGCCTAGAAACCCAAAGCGTCAGTTGGCAGAGCCAGGAGGAACTCCGCCCCTATCCCCAACTTCTGTTAAGACGGATGCCTCCTCCAAGTCTCAGGTTCTGTTTCTTTAAACCCAGACCAAAATGTGTTCGGGTGGCCAGAACCGATTGTCTCAATCAAGGAATATGCATGCCACAGGGCTACAGAAGGACCGTTTTTCCAGTGGCCTTTCAGCAAATGTCCACTCCAGAAGGCAAATGGGAAAGTAGAGACTTCCATACTTCAAAGTGAAAAGTGATTAAGAACATGAGCACACATTCAAATCCTCAAATGCTCAGTGAACAAAACGTTTTCCATCTGCCATGTGCTATATATGCCTAAATAGAGGGCAACTCCCAAAGAACCCAATCCCCAACTTCCCTAATGAGATCAACTCTTTTGGCCAACTTGAGAGGAATCTAAGCTATAGTTGCCTTTGAGTTGGGGGATGGGAATGACTTTTGGAGGGGCCCAAAGGAACTTTCTGGAGTGGTGGACATGGTCTGTACCTTCACTGTGGTAGTAGTTATGTGGGTGATTTCATTTGTCAAAATTCATCAAACTGTACCCATAAGCTCTGTATACTTTAGTGAATGTAAATTTTACCTCAATAGAAAAATTAAGAAAAATGAATTAAATAATACTTACTTATAATATTTAACCTAACCATGTAGTTGCATTCAGTAGTCTCCCCTTCTCTGCGATTGCTTTCTTCCATGGTTTCCGTTATCTACGGCGAACCACGGTCCGAAAATATTAAATGGAAAAATCCAGAAATAAACAATTCAAAAATTTTAAATTGAGCACCATTCTGAATAACATGATGAAATCTCAAGCCATTCAGCTCCATTCCGCCCAACATGTGAATCACCCTGTGTCCAGCATATCCACGCTGTATGTGCTCCTGCCTGTTAGCCATCTGGGTTATCAGATTGACTGACACAGTATCACAGTGCTTGTGGTCAAGTCACCCTGTTTTCCTTAATAGTGGCCCCAAAGCACAAGAGTAGTGATGCTGGCAATTCAGATAAGCCAATGAGAAGCCCTGAAGTGCTTCCTTTATGTGAAAAGGTCTGTATGGATAGGAAAAAACATAGCATATATAGGATTCAGTACCATCTGTGATTTCAGGCATCCATTGGGGGTTTTGGAATGTATTCCCCATGGAAAAAGGGGGAGTACTATACTTAAAATTATAAGAATAATGTATTAATTTATACTACTTTTCCCATTCACATATTTCACAAAATGATTTTATGCAAATGTACATCTTTTGAGGTCAATATATATTATTACTAAGCCACTTTTTCGTTGAGTTTTCCAGAGCACATCATCCTCAATTTGTCTTAATTTATTTGAAATGCGAAACGTTTTGAATCCATGTTTGATGCTGAAATTTTATTATAAGACACAAATACCCATTTGTATAACATTGTAGCAGATGTATTTCCCATTTGTCTTATAAGTAATTACTCATGATCCTCATGACATAAGCAACTTATGTTTTGCTTTCTGAAATGAGCTTTAAAGTATTTATCACAACTTACAACTGCACTCCAGGGATAATCACCAAATCTGTGTTAAATCTCATTGCCATCTTCCCATTGTTTCCCTCGAGTGACCTCTAAAAGCATCCAAAACCAGCATTGATTGAGACCATTTCAGGCTGGTGTGTCTTCCCAGATTTTGTGGTTCGCATAAAGTAATTGAGAGAATAACAAGTTATAAGGTATTTTTTAAAGAATAACAAGTCATAAAACTATGAGAGATTTGTAATAATTTTCTAATAATTAATTTGACAAAATATGCCTTCATCTTATTTTCAGGCATATACCATGTGGTAAATCCTGGCATATGTACTCAGATCAAAGATGAGATCAATTCAGTAAATTATGGGGTCTCATTTTAGAATTCATTATTAAAAGTTTAACATTGTTAGCTTGAGTTAGAAGTTTCTTTATGCAAAAAATTTTCAACTAAATCTTGCTCCCTACCATAAATGAGAAGTTGAAAAATTCTTTAATAAGTTCAAACTATGCATTATACCTTACTCAAGGGCCTTAAAGTGAGGAGAGTTTACTTTAAACAGATGCTTCTGGTTAGAAAGTGGTGGGATTGTAAACACAATCTTAAATTCTGAATTACTAATTATTAATTTTGCAACTTGACCTTAGGTCACGTCCAGTCTTTAGCTTCAACCAGTGTGATATAATGATGTACAAAGAAGACTTTGTTTTTTAAACAATTCCTCAGTCTAGGTATTAAGAATAGTGTTGTTCGTAATGAAATCAACATGGAAGACTACACTGATTTGGGGGGACGGGGTTTGCTTTTAATGTTGCTGTTGCTCAGCACCATTGCTATTGCTATCAGAAGCAAAATCATATCATTCACCAAGAGCTCACTGGGCATATAAGCTCTTGTATGATACAGCTCAGTGCCGTGGCTACCCAATTATTTACTTATTTATTTATTTTGGTAGCAGAACCCCAGTTTTAAATGATATTGTGGTTGAAGCTCTATTCAGTACAGAGATTGGGGCCCAGAGCAGTCCTGCTGGATCCTTTGAGAAAAACATGACTACGAAGGGGTTTTACAGCACCCTAGGGCTTCTGTGGAACACAGTTTGAACACCTCTGGCAGTGTATCATGACTAAAGGTTTGGTCTGGGTTCAAAACCTGGGTTCTGGACTCTGCAATTATTGGCAGATGACTTAACCTGAGTCTTATTTTCCTCATCGGAACATAGAGCATGAATGCTTATCTCAGAGCGTTGTAAGGATGCTTGTAAATGTGCTTTGGAGACCATGAATGTGTAGGTTTATGTTGCTTTTTAATTCTTACTGTTTCCTAGACACATCTTATTTGCATGTTGTGTGCCATCTCATCTTGATTAAAGACTAAGAGTCTACATTTTCTATTGTTTGTCCTTGCTGATGCTCCTACTTCTGCCTTTCAGCTTTTCAGCCATTATCGTCCACTGGAGGATGGACAAGGGGGAAAGCTGACTTAGGCTCTACTGTGTGCACCTCTGCAGTAAGGAATTCCATGCTCATGATCCGTTCTTGGGTGGACCACTCTGACAGATGTCCTTTTCATTTTCAGGTGGGCCAAGAGAAAGGAAACTGTTCTTTCCAGAGAAACCCAACCCCTTGCATCATCCCTCAAGAACAAGAAAATATTTTCCATACCATATTTGCTTTTTTCACAAAGTCTGGAAGAAAAGTCTTGGTAAGGATTTGCTTACTGATTGGGACAATATGGGTGGTCCTCTCCAAGAAGGCAAGTCCGAGACAAGAGGCCAGTTTTCTCTTTGGCATTTATTATTTCCCAAATCTGGTTTTAATCACTTGGCTTAGGAAGTCACAAGGACTATGGTCAGCTCCTGTTTTTCAGCCTGAGGTTTCAAAGTGTTAAATTGACATTTCAAGTTCCATTGCCTGGCAAAGGGAAAATCTTTGCAACCCACCAAGCGTGAAGTAGTAAAACATTTCTTCAACTAGTGGGAGTCTAACCAAGAACGATGGTTCTTGTGCAACCACTTTGGAAAACTGCTGGGCAGTATCTATTAAAACTAGGAATTCCACTCCCAGGTATAAGCCCAAGAGAAATGAGTACTTGTGTTCCCCAAATGACATGGACAAGAATTATAGCCATTTTTATTATACCAAAAAGTGGGAACCATCCAAATATCCATCAACAGGAGAGTGAGTAAACAATTGTGGTGGAGATATACACTGGAGAGTCACAGAGTGGGACACATAATACAATATTTCACTTACATGGAGTTCAGAAATAACAAAACTATCAATGGCCTTGGAAATCAGGTAGTGGTGACTTTTGAAGGAATATCAACAGGAGGGGGCATGAGAGAACCTGGCTTAGGTACTAGATGTGCCCTACATCTTGATGTGGGTATAAACATATGCAAAAATATGTCAAGATGGACCCTTCAGATTTATTCTGTTTGTGATATGTAAGTTATACTTCAGTTTTTTTAAGTGAAGGTATAGAAGGTGAAATTATTTATTTTTCCAAAGCTTCTTTTCCTCATATCTTTGGTTCCATCTCTTTAGCTCCTTATTTTAGCCTAGGCACATCTCACTCACTTTTTTTTTTTTTTTCTGTAGAATAGGACTATTTGCCAGTGGGAATGTTGGGTTTTTTAACTTACATCATGCTGATGATACGACTATTTTTAAAAGCTCTTAGAATTGTTAGGTATAGTGATATCTAGTTGTTTGACAGATACAACTGCACATCTGGCTGAAATTTTATCCCATACATGAAACATCATAAAGGTATGTGATGGATCCTATAATACAAAAGAGAAGAATTCCTCTTTTGTCATTTAAATTTGGAATTTGGATTTCTCTTGGTAATTCACGTATTTTCATGTTCCAGCATGTGTTATCTTTTACTCCTGTGTCTTCTTGAGTCACATGACTTGATAGCCCTCTAATTTGTCCTACCTAAAAAATGGGCATGAAAGTGTATTCGCCACTGCACAGGCAGAAATTACATAATGCAGGAAATACATCTTGTGTTCAAAACTCATAAAATGTGTTCGAAATATGTAAATGTGTTTTTTTTAAAAAAACGATTATTTCTCTTTGCAAAATCCAATTTTTTGGTAGGGTAGCCAATGAGCTGCTTTCTCCCAGTTGCTTGACCTGAAGGCATGTTCTGGTGCCCGCTGAGTGGGAAGTCCCTTCATCGCCCTCTGGTGGCGAGAAGGAATGATCGCATCTTCCTGTGGACTTCCTCTGCCTGGAGTTGTCTTAGTCACCAGAATCGAAGCACATGGAGCCTTCTGCTCCATCAGTTGCTATGCATCTGTTTTTGTTCTTAATACTGTTTGACAGTTCTCTGATTTTCTTCTCAGGATTGTGAAAAACCAGGAATTTCTTGCCTAACAATGCACTGTAATCTGAGTGCACTCGCTAAAGAAGAAAGTCGTACCATAGACATTTACATGCTGCTGAACACAGAAATATTGAAGAAGGTAAGTCCCGAGGAACTGCACTCTCATGGTTTATTTAAAAGCATTTGAATTGGTTTCCTCATGAAATTCTGCCTGCCCCTTTTAAAACTTTCCTGGCAATTACCATTGGTAATTCTGCTGCTGGAGCATGCCGGGGAAAATACCAGACCCTTGCTATACAAAGCATGGTCCAAGGACCAGCAGCATCAACCTCACCTGGGAGCTTGTTAGAGATGCAGAACCTTGGACACCACCCCAGACCAGCTGGATCAGCATCTTCATTTTAACAAGCCATTTTGTTTGTACTTTTTTTTTTTCTTCTCAGACTTTAGCTTGCCTCGGAATCACCTGGAGACCTTGTTAAACTGCAAATTCCTGGAGTGGAGTTTGAGATCTGCTTTATTTGTGACAGGTTCCCAGGTGATGCCAATACTGCGAGTCTGGGGACCACATTTTAGACAGAGATTGGCAAACCTTCTCTGTGAAGGGCCAGTAGTAAATATTTTTGGCTTTAAGGGCCATATGGTCTCTTGCCACTGCTCGGCTCTGCCATTGTACCGTGAAAGCAGCCATAGACAATACTCAAACAAATAGGTAGGGCCATGTTCCAATAAAACTTTATTTATAAAAACAGGCAAAGGGCCAGATTAGACCCATGGTTTGTAGTTTGTTGACCCTTTGTTTAGATGACACCTTGTTTCAGAGAAGTCCAACTTTTGAACCTCAGATCACTTTGCTCGTTACGAGTTTGTCAAAAGTGGTTCATAAAAAATGACTCTCGGTCAATGAATTGGTGGCCCTTAAAAAAATCATACAAATTCACTATGATTTACTTTGACATAAGAGCTGCTGAGTATAAAAGGCTACATCCAACAAAACACTTTAAAAATAATCACATATGAAGATAAAACAAAATATGCATGTCAGCCACAGAGACTCTATTTATTTTCCTTTGGAAAAACTAAACACGTCAGTTTGTAATAACCTGTCAGTGTATGAATGACTATCTTTAGAAAAGTCATTCCAGTGTTATTTTTTAAATTAGGCATGGCAGTAACATGCTGACCTGAGGAGTCATGGTCCCTGGGGAATACAGGACGTTTTTCCCCAATTTTCCTTGTGTAGCTGGTGCAGCCTCCACACACCCACGGAGAGCTGCATACAGTTCTGCTGTCCTTGGTTTCCTTGGGAGGGAAATTGGTTTGGGGCAAGTTGGGCTCACACAGCAGAACTTCCCTGTTGTACCTCTCCCTCGGAAAAGGACAGTGTCAAGAGAGGACCAGGCATGAATTAGAACACCACTGGCCATCTTGCCAGTCCAGAAGGGAGTTGGGAAGCCCCGCATCACAGGAAGTGTCTTCCTGGCATGAGTCCCCAGGTCAGGTTGAGGGACTGTGATTCTGTGTACATACCCAGCCTGTTCATATTTTTGACAAATGGCCTTGGTGACAATTTTATTCCCCACATCACACTTGCCATCGTCAACAGAGCCCTATTAATGGCACTGATGGTGGGAAACTACTCTGATTTCTCCTTTGCCCTCAATCCAGGTGGCTGCTGCTTGCACTTCAGTCATTCCTACTTAATTCAATGGCAAGGACTCAAACCTTCCTTGGACACAACAATGTGACCTGGTCGTCTGCATCTCCCTCAGCGATCAGTCTCTTGACTCTTTTGCAAAAAACATGTCCCACTGACTGCTGTCCTCATGGGCCATCCAACCCAGTCTGCACCCCAAGAGCGCAGAAAGCCCTGGGGTCTTATGTGGGTGTCAAAGGGTCATTCTCTTTGAAAGTGCCCTTTCAGCAGAAACCAGCAGAAATTCCAGGTGCAGAGGAAGGCCTGCAATGAGGCTGACCTGGAAGCCAGATGGGGCCCTGGCTGCTCCTGAAGCTTGAAATGCCAAACGTGGGTCCCCTGGAGCCAGCCATGACCTCCCTTGGAGAGTGGAGCATGAGATGGATCCAGGAGCCCTCCCCGCCTCCCTAAGGATGGGGTGCAGCGCCAGCCTTGTGGTTTGCCTGGGTCTGCAGTGTGTTTATTTTCCTTCGACCTCAAAGTCTGGCCCCAGAGAAGGGAATGTGAAGTCTTATTGTTTTGACCTTAACAAGTTTTCATTTAAAATGTAGGATCTGACTTTTTCACTTACCAGAGAATTTAGAGTTCTTTGGAAGCGTTCGTTTACAATCACGGGGGCCTGTCCCGTGGCAAGCTCCTCATTTGCTCAGCCTTTAACTTTGGCAGTTGGCATCATTATCACTGTTATCATTATTGTCATTATTAATATCTAAGATGATGACCGTAATTATCCAAGATTGAAAATACGGCATATCGTGACACATAAAACCACAAATTTATACAGCGGTTAAATTGGTAAAAGATTATTCACATACAAAATTATTCACAAAATTATTTACTGGCACAATTCCTTTGAGCGACAAGCGTTCCAGAAGCATTTAAAATATGTTATATTGCTGTTTTTAAAAAGCTTTGTGGTTTCTTTGTCAGAGGTGAGCAGAGTGCCCCCCCCCCTTGGAACTGTTTCCTAAAGAAAGAGTCCTCCGCTTTCATTTTTGGGGGGTAGGTTTAACCGGAAGTGGGTCAGAGCCGGCATCTGATATGTACCTCCTTGCATGGCAGGCGAGCTAAGTAAATGTGGGTGGGGACACTATAAGGCACCTTGCTGGCAGAGCCCCAGCCACCAGCCCAGGTCAGGTGCTGAATGCTCCTGTCATCTGCCCTCTGTTTTCACCACGAAAGCCAGGCTGCCTCTCCACCGTCCATCTGTACCACTGGCTCGAGGTTCTGGCGTTTTCCTAAGCCACAGTTTTGCCAACCCCCGTCTTTTTCCAAGTTCCTTCTCCATCCCTGCCTTCGAGCCATTTTCTCATTCTCTGAATCGGTGGCTTTGAATCTGAGCCCACACCAAGGTTTCTGGCTACATCTGGCCGGAGGGCTCTTCCCGAGTCTTAGAGGCACCCGTGCCCAGCCCAGGACCCTTCCTCTTCCGGCTGTAGCCTACTTTCTAAGCCAAGTGCTTTCTCCTTTCTCATCTCTCCATCAAGTCCCCTCTTGCCAAGTTAGATGGCTTTGAACCCAAAACAGCTTTATATAATAGCAAAGAAAGTGTTAAAAGTAAGTAACTCATGCGAAGGGTTTGAGGGTTGTGGTCAAGGCAGGAAGATGCTTGAGAGATGTAAATCAGATGCCTTCTGTGGAATGCCAGGCCTGGGTTTGTTTCATGCAATTAAACAGCTTTATTTATTCTCTGCTCCTTGTGACTGTGTCAATATCAATATCCAAATATCTGGCTCTTTCTTGGAAATCACAGCACAAGTTCGCATGTGTTGACAATTGGCAAAACTCCATACTTTTTCAGCATCCACCATGATAGGAAAGAATTCTCAGGAGAGAGACTAGAGATCTCTGTTTATGTGGGTGCCCAAGATGAGAGGTTTCTGGTTCAGTGGTAAAATTCTTGTCTGGTCCACTTGGAACCTTGGAATTCAGTCCTGCCTGGTACCCAGCCATTTTCAAGGCCCAGATGTTGTCACTGAAAGATCTTACAGTGAGTTGTGTTGTTTCCTCCACAGGACAGTTCCTCTGTCATTCAGTTCATGACCCGCGCCAAGGTGAAGGTGGACCCTGCCCTACGGGTGGTGGAGATAGCCAACGGGAACCCAGAAGAGATGACGGTGAGTCAGCCCTCCCTGGTCCAGCCCTCCTCAGAGGGTGAGAGAATTTGGGTGACTTGCTGCTGGCATTTGAGGTTAAAGATGGTTTCTGAGCCAAGGTGTAGGCTTTATGGTAGGCCCAAGACCATGCCTGTCTTGGCGTCCAGGCCCCCATGGAGAACTTCTCAGGTCCACTCTCATTGTGATAGCATTGTTCTTTAGGATTCCATCGTTAAATGAAAGTGCCCTGCTGTGACCAGACAAAGGAAAAATAGTCCACAAGTGCCTTTGGCAGGGCTTGGATTTCCACTCCGAAGCCAAGCCTGTTTTTATCTTCCTCAGACTTTTCCCTGAAACCTCTGCCTTCCCAATAAAGTTGCTCCATGGATAAACACCGGATAAAAACAAGTTGTTTGGAAAACTTAAAGAGGTCACATCCAAACTGCCGAATCCTAGAACCTTCTCTTTCATTCTCTACCTACTCCCTGGTTCTCCACAAAGTGCAGTTGGCACACAGGCCTCGGAGACATGGGAGATTGGCAGCAGCCAGGAGACTTAGTGTGGGAGAGGCTGGAGGGGAAGTGTGGCCTTGGAATTTTACTGCCTTTTCCTGTGTTTCAGGAGTGGGGAGAGGAAGCTTTTCCTTTGATACCCACACTCACATCCTAGGCAGATGGAAAGGGGAGACAGCCGTCTATTAACTGATTTTGCCCACGATGCTCCCTGTTAGCATCTCCTTTCCTGGAATTTTCTTTCTCTCAAGGGTGACTTTACCCCTTCTGAGACACACTGACAGAAGTGGCGAGGTGATACGGATTATTTACTTACAGAGAAAAGATTGTGCACTTATTTTCTGGTAACAGAAAATGTAGAGACACCACATGTCTAACTGTTAGGTTGGGGTCGGACCAAAGCCCACTCTTACAAGACCCCGGTTGGGAAGGATTCATGTAGAAAATAAGTCTTTGGGGACCTCAGTGAAATCTCAGTCATGCTCCTGTGTGTGGTGAGCAGGAGGCGAGAACATTGGCCGGGACAGAGTGAATAGGAACCTACAAATGGGCCAGGATGGGATGCTAAAGATGCACCCGGGCCTGGGCCTGGGCCTGCCGCGCTCAGTGCGAGGAAGGGCTGGCCGGGGTACAGCTTGCCTGCTCTGCCCCCGCTGAGGATTTGTCCAAGCAGTCACCTCACTAACAGGAACGGAATGGAATGAAGTGGAAAGATGCTGGAGTCCTTTGCTACCAAGAGTCAGCATTCCTGGCTATTTCGCTGCTAACTCGTACCTTCGCCCGGGAAGTGAAGGAGAGTGGGGCTTCATGCTCGTAGCCATAGCTCTGGCTTCAAGGTTTTATAGAATGAAACATGTGCCCACCATGAGAGGTCTGGAATATTCTCATAGACCACGGAGTTCTCAGTTAAGAGCTCACGGAGGTGATTAACACGTTTCCTAAAGGTGGAATCCCTCGTGTAACTGGAAAAAAAGTAATTTAAATATATATATATATCACCGGGAACGTTGCTTTTAGAGCACTGAGCTGCGGGATCCAGGAAGACACTGCTTAACATCCCATCACTGGCTTCTGAGTCATCTGCACACCCCCAAAATACCACTTCCATTAATTACTGTTTCATTTCGAGCACCGTAGTGATATTTTCATTATCAGGAGTTCTTTGGAAGAAGCTCTCATTTCAAACTGATTTTTTTCAGTACTTCCAAGAAAAAAAGTAACACCCATAGTAACATAACCCCGCAATGTCCCCTTCTTCCTCCTTTTCGTGACTTTGCCTTTTCAATCCATGAGCTCAGATGAAGTGCTACAATCTGTTCTCAACTTTCCTGGCAGAAAAAAAAAGAAAACGTTTCTGAGTAGGAAGGTTTGCCTTTTAGAACAAACACGTTCTTCCCTGCATGATTCTTCTGAATGCCTGGCTTTCTGTCAACTATTCGTGAGGGTGGCCACCAAATTTAAATTAAGGAAAATGTCACAAGATTTTAGATTAGGCACCGAATTTTCTGGCCTTGGAATGAACAGGAAATGTACTTGCAGCTGTTTTAGAGCAGCGTTTGGGTGAAAAAAATCATATTTTTAACCATCTCAAGTGTACATGGTGGTAAACTTAACTGATAGGGAAATCAAATAATTTTCCTATGACTCTTTGTATCTTTTATTTTTATACCATGGAATGAGTAGTGCTTTACAGAGCATTTGGGTGAAGACCTATAAATATGTCTTGAGGCATTTGCCCTGTTTATTAATAAATAGCTCTAGGGGTACTTTCCACTTAAGGTGTTAGCATGTGTCTGAGACCAATCACACCAAGCTTACCTGGCTTTGCATAGATCCAAACCTGAGAATTCCAGGTAAGACCTAAGAGACTGCAATCGGTGCCAATAATATGTTGAACTTCCTATTCTATTCAACCCAGTTCTTCCTTTTCAGGGGAAGTTGCCAATAACTGGCGGTAGAAGCTCCCCCAGGGCAAACCAAGGCTCCACAGAATCAGCTCTGCTACCGCGAGCCACTCCCTCCTCAGGCTGGATGAGGCGCTTGCAGGAATTACATAGCAAATCCATCTTACTGATATTTTAAAATAGTGGAAAATGTGAGCAACACATAAATCCCCATGCTAGGCTGCTAAAAAGTGACAAACGTCTCTGCCATGTGCTCCTCTAACGCTAAGGGTTGATATCGGGCCAGCCGACCCCTGGGTCTTCTGAGGGCTCCTGTCTGAGCCAGAAACCTCGTTCAACAGTTTAGACCGTGGTGTTGGTGGTAACTGCCTGGGCAAGCTGCAGCCTGAAGGAGGGAATGTGAAAATCTTTGTCCAAAGATGGTTGAGGGGCATTTGTGTTTTTTGCTTTGTTTTGTTTTAAGAAATAATGTACTCGAACGAGCGATGCTTCCTTGCTGATTTGCTAGGGCAAATGCTAGGGGCCCTTCACCTTCTGCCATGGTGCCATGGGAACCATGTGTCCAGAGAGGCCTTCCCCTCCCTCACCCAGCCCGACTGCCATCAGCGTTCCTCACCCTGCAGACGGGAAGACGGGTCATAGTTTTAGCAAGTCCCTGGAGACTCCACTGTGCCTTCCCTGGGTTTGAACCACTAAGCTTCTTCCTCTAGTGAACACAGGGCGTCTGACACATGGGCAGAAGAAATGACTTTCCTAAGATCTCCCAGTGACCAAACCGAGGGCAGTGTCCAGAACTCTTGACTCCCAGCCTGGTGCTCCTCCTCTCCCACCCCTGCCCCCAGCCACTCAGTCACGTGGGAGGGCACTGAGCCTTCTTGGATGAAAGGGCCTGATAAGTGCAAAGTCTCCAGTGTAGAAATCATTGTCTGTTAAGACCGCCCAGGTGCCCTTGGAGCCCAGCTCCCTCATAGTGGCCCTGGCTCTCCTCACCCCAGGTGAGGCTTTTCCTTCTCAGTCCAAACCAGGCCCCAGAATGAAGCCCCATGACTGCAGCCACGCTGTCCCCGCTAAATACACCTGCCCTGTCGCGCCCTAACTGATCAAGACGATACGTTCCAGCCTCATTTGCTCTGAAGCCGTTTAGGCTCAGATCCCAATCTTAGCCCTTTCAGGAAGTCAGTCCTCCTGCTTTGGCCTTTTCCTCAGTGCCCAGGGAGCACTGCATCTCTCGTTGGGGATCAGAAAAGCCTGGGTTCACATCCATCTCCCTTGAGTCCTAACTCTGTGACCGTGGGTATCAGGTAAGCTCTGTAAGCCTGTTTCATTATCTATAAACTAGGAAAGCTGCTTTCTACCTCCCGTTTGTTCTCCTCCCTACCATTGCCCTCAATCAAAGATGCCAGTCAGGATACCTCAGCCAGAGGGACATCACCTCACATGGTAAACAAAGATGACACCAGCTATACTGCTTCTTGATGCAAACTTTATCATTTTTACTGTCACCAAGTAGATCGTGACTTGTACTTCACCATTTATATGGTCAATTGCAGTTAAAATTACATTCCACATGGCAAGAGAGTTTTTTCCCCTTGAACCTCAAATTACATTAAGATGTAGGATGAAGAAGACGGTCATTGGAAGGTCACCACTACCCCCATCCTGTACCATTATCGGAAGGTGGTAGGCCATCATCCTGTCCTCACTCACCACCCTACATTTGAGAATTAACAATAACCATAAGGAATTGAGAAAAAGCCCAACATAGTTTGGCCAAAACACATGAGTCGTATTTCCTAACGGTTACCACTTGCGTATTCATTCGATGACTATTTATTGAAGGCTCGCTGAGGGCCAGGCACTGTGCTAGGCACTGGGGATGCAACAGGGAACAAAGTAGACATGGTCCCTGCCCTCCCAGAGCTGATTGAGAGGATGGCAGGTGGTCAACAAGGAAGCAAACAAAGTGTTTTATTTTAAATTGTGGTTAGTTCTATGGGAGTAACCTGCTTTTGACTGAGGGAGTCAAGGAGTATTTCTCCAAGGAAGCCAAGACCTAGAGAGTGAGACGGAATTAGCTTGCCAAGCTGGGGAGGAGTGCCCCAGGTGTGGGGGAAAGCTGTATGGAGACCCGAAAAGCTTGCCATATTCAAGGCTCAAAGCCCAGTGTGGCAGGGACCTGATGAGCAGTGAAGACATCCATGATGGAAGACACAGGCAGGGTCCACGCCATGTAATGCCAAGGGGCAGCTACAAAGGGAAGCCATCGAAAGCTTCTGTTTGGAGCAGGGAATGGCATGATCCTCTGTATATTCTTTAAAAATCACGGGCTACTGTGTGGAGAGTGGCTTGTAGGGGCGAAGGCTGGAAATAAGACGGCTAGTTAGAAGATTGTGACTATCACATGACAAGAAGCGATAGTGACAGAGATGATAGAAATGGACAGGCGGATTTATCTCAGTAAAGGTGTGGCAGTTTGTGCTAGTTTCATGTAGGGAGAATCTGTCCTAAAGTCTTAGGAGGGATCAAGTGACGTCTTGATGCAAAGCCCCTTGCCTGGTGCATCCTCCTGAGCATTCAGTTAATGGTGGCTCTCACTGCATAAAGA